CTCTGACACCATGTCAGCTTCGCACCTGACCGCCTTGGCAATCACGTCAGCCAAGCGAGGGTCATAGCTCCTTGAAACAAGCATCGATAGAACATGTTCGGAGATTGCAACGTCGCCCTTGTCAAGGACTGCAAAGCGCTCAACGGCCTCCGCAAGGGCACCCCTCGATGGCAAATCCGACGGATTGGACTTGGAGGGGACCCTTTCGTACCATAGCGAAGTCTCAAGAATGGCCTCGAGCAATGTCACAATGCAGATGATGTTAAACATGCACTGCGATGGAGACGAGCGCCGAATGAAGCCAAAGCGAGCAGCATCGTTATCTATAAAAGCGATGATGCAACGTCCACGCAGCGATCCTCTCAAGCCATAGAGGACAAGCGCAACTGCAAAGGCCTCCACTTCGCAGATTATCTGCTCCCCAGCATGCGTTCTCCAGTGGTCGCACAGCGTTCGGCAGACAGTGCCATGAAACATCCATCGAGCTCCAGAGAGGGGATCCAAAAGGATGGCACCCCAAGTAGCCACGTCATTCTCGTAGGCACCGTCGGTGTAGAGGACCATGGGCGGCGTCAGCCGAGCCAGCAAAGTCCTTGGTCTGGCCCCTTTCAAGACATCCATTGCAAGAAGCGCTGCTGCCTGAAGTTCAGCTCCGGCGGTGCGCCCCCTGGCGAGGGCCTTGGAAAACATCCTGACGGCCGGCTTCAGCTGAAAGCCCAAAACATGTCCACCAGCAAAGTTAAGCAGCCCATGAAGACTCGCCAACTGAGACCTCGTAGCAGGCTTGCCCTCTGCGATCGGAGCAAGCATCGTACAGATTTTGTTGATGCGCCCCGGCTTGTTAGCAATCGTGATGCGGCCATTCCAGATCTCCTCGAGATGGAGCACGACTCCCAAAGTCACCACCTGTGACCCAAAGGGAACAAATTTCTTACCATCCTCGGCAAAGACCCACCCCAGGAGCTTAAGGAGCTGGCACAGCACCTTGTCCAACAGGGAAGCAGCTGGCTGGAACTCGAAGACAGTGTAGTCGTCGTAAAAATCAGTAGCGATGGCATGAAACTTGACCACCATTATATGTAGCAGGGCCAGAGCAACCTTGTTAAAGGCGTAGACGCTGGACGTTGCACCACAAGGAAGGCTGCGGGAAACTGCAAACGTCCAGCCATCCTTCCTGTCCGGGTAGCCGAGAACCGCATGCCGCCACGCAGAGGGCTTGACAGCCATCTGCTTGTAGGCCTTCTTCAAGTCAATGGTCTTAGCGAGCAATGGAGGGGACTGCAGCATCTCTCGGGACCACGCCCCGCGCAGAACCTGTCCATCAGACAGAGGCACAACCACCTTCACCTTGTTCAGCAAAACCCTTGACAGAAAGCGCAGCAGTCCCACAGTGAAGTCAGTGTCCTGCAACACCAAATGCGAGTGGGACTCGAAGCTCTGATTTACGGCCGAAGCGCTGAAGTCGTCGATGACACGAACTTTGCCATCCTCGCCCTGTCTCAAAAGGAACCTTGGCGAGAGAGACCAGCATTGGCAGCCCAGGAACTTCGACACCTCCTCGACAGAAGAAAAAGGACCAAGCAGGTATCCCGCCTCAATCTCCTGAGTGGTCTCAGCGATCAAAGCTTCTGAATCGGCCGGGTCCGAAGGAGGGCGACGTCGCATGGTTTCCTCACGCCTTATCTGCGCCTGAGCATCCAGCTGGTCCGGATGGATTTGCATGGGCCGATGGCGCTCGGGGAACAATGAGCACTGAGGCTCGACTCCCCCAAGGTCAACACCAGAGATCAAGGAGTCGACAACCGACATGTCCCCGAACCCTGTCTCCTCGAGAAGCTCACGGAAGAGACAGATGGCTTTGCCCCGAGTAACCTCCTCGACATCTGGATGCATGCTTCCCCGCAACTCATCTTCCTGAGGCTCGAGCTCTTTGAGACGAGCATTCAAGTGGTTCAGAGCCTGCAGACGCGCCTTAGACACTGCAAGTGGTCCCTCGGTGCAGAGACGAAAAATGTTTCGACGCACTGCATCTGGCACCTGGTGC